GTGAGAGATGCAACTTCCTTGGGAAGCTTTTCAGCCTGTCCTGACGAACAGCCTGTCACGGGAGGTGCTGTCGGTCCTGCCTCTTCGGCCATGAAGCTGCTGCCATTCCACCTGCTGGTTTTTAGTGGATTATTTTTCTTCACTACTGTCCTCATCTTTGATTTGGTTGCAAGAGAATAATTAAAACATGAGTTCTCCCATATCTTGTCCCTGGAGTCTAGTTCTCCAGGGGCTTCGCCCTTGCCCCCGAGTTCGTAGGGTTCTAGTGGCGTGTCCTGACTGGCCCTCCCGGGTGCGGTGACGGCGCAGGCAGCGACGACTCTTGGCTTGCTTTCTCCGCGGTGTTCCGATTAATTACCCGTTCGATTAAGGAAGGTTTCTTTGAAACAGGTCCTTTTTCAGAAGTGACAAGCAGGTGGGGACAGCACACTTGAAACTGGAAAAGCTGGAGTCAGAGTGTGAAGTCAGAGAGATCATCGAGGTATGTTCCTGGGCGAGGTGGCCGCTTCCAGCAGGTAGTGTCGGAACCCACGGGGAGTGTTTGTGCTGCGTACGGGATGGGTCTGTACTGGGGGAGTTCAGTAAACAACGGGGTGTTCTTTGTTTCAAGGGTGGGGTGGGCAGAGAGCTGCCCTAACACCTGCTACAAGGTCACGAGGTGGAACCTTTCAGAAAATGCTCCCTTGGGCTGTGCCAGCAGCACGCTCAGGACGCCGCTGCCGGATCATCCCCCGAGCTGCCCACGGAGTCCGTTGTTACCTGGTGGTACAGATGCCGTGCAGCCCTGGCTGGGGGGTCCTGCTGTGCCGAATCACGAACCCGGGGAAGAGCACGGCTGCGCGTCGCTGTCTCCTGCGGGTGATCTGTGATCTTCTAGCCACCGGGAAATCGAGACAGCGGCCTCGGTCACCTGAGGCACTGTCGGTCGATGTTCTCATTAGTACGTGCACTAACTGCTCTTCTTTTTGTGGCTCTTGCAGATTTTTGACGGCAGAAAGCCCACCGGAGGGAAACTGGAGGTGAAAGTGAGACTCAGGGAGCCCCTCGGCGGTCAAGATCTTCAGACAGTTACAGAAAACTGGCTGGTCCTTGAGCATTAGCTCTGTCAGGTATGAATACTGCGTCTGAAGATGGGCCGGCCAGAACTTGACAGGGCTGCAGATAAACTGGGCCTGAATAATGGCTTTTGTTGACATTGACCTAATTGCACAGCTCTGGCTTTGATACCGTTCGGCCTTTTATTTGTAGTGGTGAGTTGACATAGTTTCCAAAACGAGGCTACAGAATCTCTGATGAGTTTGTCTGTCAAAGACGCTGTTTCACAATCGCTTGAAATACAGGGAGAGCTTCGCATCACCTGCCTTTAGAGCACTGTTCAGAAAATAAGATAGACGAGTCCTTTCTAGGAGGGAGCATGCTTTCTGCCCACCCTTCTCATTCGCAAAAAACCTCTCGGCGTCAGCAAGGACCCTTCTTGCCCCTCCTGCTGTCTGTCTGCTCCCTCTTCCTCAGCAGACTGTCCTGCTTGGCATGTCTAGATGGCAGTTCAGCTAAAACTCGTCAGCTTCACGGCGACAGCACTGTTTGCCCCACCTCTGCTTCCAGACTGTTCGATTTTACAGACGGAGAGGTCTCGCTCAGTACACGAGCCTGAACGGGCAGCACCCGAGGGGCTGTTTGCTGGGGGTTTCCTCCTCACGAGGAGGTCAGTAAGCAGCCTGAGAGCCTCAGCGAGGCCGAGAGGGACGCGCTTGCTGGCCGTGTCTGAAGTAACAACTTGGCCTCATGCTGTGACTGGACACCTGAGCGTTTTCCATCACTAGGGCTCAATAATTTTGCTCCACTGATTTTTCTGGTTGACCATCCAGAAAATTCCTGTCAGCACTGCGCGTGCAGCGTGACCTTGAACTGTGGATGTCTGTTAAGCACTGCATCATGTAATTCTGCTGTTTCTTGGTTTCCCCCCCCCCAGATCCATGGGAACGTGGAAAGATGTGGGATGAACATACGTAGAGGGACGCTGCTAGCTGCGAGCACCAAAGATGTTAAACGAATGCACTACTGAACCTAATGTCTGTTTTGATAGCAGCCATAGTGCTTATTAATAACCTCGAGGCAAACGTCAGGCTCTGGGAACGTGCCGCTGCAGGGATCGGTACCAGTCTACGCAGAATAGACAGAATTGCCTTAATGTGGGACTACTGATGTAGCGCCAGGACGAATGTTCCCCTAACTATGCATAGCGGTGCGGGAAAAGCGTAGCCCCTTAAAAACTCCCCGAGGCAACAACTTTTTTCACTCGAGTGACAGGTAAGACCTTTGCCAGATTCATTTTCCCAAGGGCACGAGCAGCCAACTGCGAGCCGCCTGCCGCTGCGTTTTCTGTTCTCCCTTACCAAGGCCTCTCTGGGGTTGGCGGTTTTGTGCCCCGAGGTAGAGCAGCCGGGCGGCGTGTCCCTCCTCCGCGTGAGTCAGCGGGCCGTTGCCTTCAGCGGAGGAGAACGCACGACTCCTCAGCGGGTGGCGTTTACAGCTCGACGTTTTTTGTTCTGGCTGCCGGGTGTCTGCCGCGCTTGCTGCGCTGCTCGCTGGGCGCAGCCCGGGTACTGTGCCTTCACCCTTCCTCTTTGGGTTGTTTTTTTTGTCTTTCAGTTTAAAAAAGGAGGTGGAAAAAAGCCCACTGGACTCCGCTGCTGCCCAGCTGTTCCTTGTGTTTTTACAAAAATAGGCTTTTACAGTTCTTCCAGGTGACGGGGAAAGTAGCCACTTGGTGGTGTAGAAACGGGACCGTGGCCGGTGTCAGGAACGCGTTGGCTCAGCGAGGTACAGACCGTGCTACCAGACGTGTCTGTGGCTGTCGGTCCCTGTGGGCTCGCCGCAAGCCCGGATATGGCAGGAGAGGATGCGCCTGCGCCGGGGGGTGGGAGCGCTCCTGCAGAGTCAGGCAGGGCAAGCTTGCGGGCAGAGGAGAGTCCGGAGGAGTAAGGCAGCGCTGCCTCCCTCTTCCGGAGCAGATGAAGACAATACAGTGTTTAGTTTTTAATTTCAATAAATTTAATATACAAAACTACATGTTGAAAATAAAAATATAATATGCAGTTTTTTGCAGTGTTAACTAACTGAATTTTAAAAGTACAATTTTTTTTTTTCTAAAACAAGTACTCATTTCTTAACAACATGGTAATTAAGGTCATTTAAAAGGCTATGGTTGAAGCAAACATGTCAGTCACCAGTTGATAGTGTTTTGCACAAACATAATCCAAACCTAAAAGACTTTTGGGGCAAAGGAAGAGAAGATAAAGATTTTTCACCTCTTTCACTGCATTATTAAGCTCAACAATGCAACTGAAGTGACTGGAAAGCCGCTGCTGTGGCAAAGCTGGAGTGCAGGCCTAGAAGGAAGATGATCACCTAGTTCACGGAACGCTTTTCCAGGTACGGAGTCTGGCCTACGCCCTGCAGCGCTGCGCCGTGTGCCAGCGTGTGCAGGACCAGGGGGGAGGCTGGGAGTAGCCTCAGGCCCGCTCCGCTGTGCAAACACAGAGGAGGGCAAGGGCGTGTCACAGCTTGAGCTTTGTCCAGCGTGAAGCCTTTTCCCGAAGGCCGGGGGGGAGCTGTCACTTGGATGTAGCACTGCTTTTCGGCGCTACCTCGTGCTGGCCAGCTTACGCTTCTGGAGTCAGACCCCAGTTCCCTGTCCTGCCTTCTCCAGGTGTTGGGTGGCGACAGCCAAAATTTGCCGTATTGGATTTGTTAGACTTTTTTTTTAGGAAGCAGTAGCCGTTTACTCCCAAGGGCGCTCTGTACATACACCCTGCTCTCTGCACACGGAATAGGTGCGGTTGCCTGTCCTTTGCCCAGCCCACACTGTGTCTTTCGCTGAACGAGAGCGCCGGTCTCGCAGCAGCCTTGCGCGGCGCTTTGAACGGATGCCACTGTTACCCATACAGCTGGAACAAAACAATCCCCACGGCATCCACCAGACCCGACGGCGAGCAGGGACGGTGCAATGCCTGTGCTCACCATAAATTAGCCCCTCTCTTCCCAAATTAATTTTCTATATGGACAGGAGGAGAAACCTTCGCCCCCTTCCTGGGAGGGACTCGCACCGGCTGCCCTGCGTGGCTATGGCTAAACGAACCAACCCCTTCTCCTGCTTTTGGCTCTTCCCACTGGTCAGCAGCTTTCCATGCAGAAAATCAGAGTGTGGAACCACGTTTCCTCTGGCTGCTTCTCCCTTCCAGCTTCCCAGTGTCGTGGCAGAGGCGAGCAGCTGCTTCCCTTACTGCAGCCCTCGGGCGAGCCCAGGAGCCCTGGGCCACGTGCAGGTGTTCCAAGCTGACCAGAAAGCCTTTTTCCACAGAACATGCAACAACAGCCGCTCTAGGCTTCTATCACAGCTAAGCTTTTACACGCTGCCGCTAATAGGAGGTGCAAGCTGCCTTGTAGTACACGACACTAGCGTTACACTACAGCATACAGCGAGGAGGAGGCTCAAAGCTGCCCGGGGCGTTACTTCTCTTTAAAAAGCAGGAGCTACCGGGGAAGAGGAACGAGAGATAACTGCACTTTAGGGCTAACATTTCCTCTGCTTCATACAGGTTTGTAAACGACAGAAGAGCAGAGTTGTTCTAGATTACAGAAACCTGCCGTGGTGATGGGGTTTTATAGTAAATAGAGGAAAAAAGTCAACTAGCCTATGAGACACACAAAACTGCAGTTTACGTAATCCCGCTTGCAGAGAGATGCCTGCCCGTCTGCTCGTTCGGACGCACACGCAGGTGTAGTCGTGGCTAGGTAACCTTTCCGTCTCTCTCAAGGGCTACTCCACACGTATTTCAACCAATAACCTGGTCAGAATAATGTAAACGTTACTTTTTTAATGTCTACAGAACAACCACAGACGGCATTAGGATGAGGTCAGAATGGAGGTCTTGATTGTTGTTTCTTACAGGTCCATCCACAGACAGTACAAGGTTGGAGTTTCACTCTTTATTTGCGCCCCGGTGATCTTCGCACCCGTTTGAGCATTCAGAGTACAGGACTGAGAGTCTTTAAACACGAGCATTTCTCTAAACGGTAACAGAAGTGTAGCTGCAAGGATAGCATAGCCATGTTGTAGTATAGAAGCTGCCCTGATCCTCTGTTTGTTGACAATGCATAGAAGATTTAGAATTATGGAACAACTGTCCCTCCCTCCTCCCCCCCACCCCGCCCCCAATAGTGTTAACAAAAGCTTAATTTTCCAGTTTTAAAGTGCAAATGATTCAGATACAACTGCTGCTGGAACAGGTCTGAACAGAAAATGAAGTCCTCTTATGAGATGTTCTCCAGAATATAAAAGATGAGCTCCATTATGACCGGCCCCTCACTCAACTGGCACGCCCCCCCATGAATCACCGGAACTAAGGCACTGTCCAGGTCATTCATGTACTGGGAGGGCAGGGGCTGTCCGTTACTCCCAGCTTGATAACCAACCTAAAAAAT